GGATGTTGACGTATTCCACTTTCTTACACGCGCTTGATCCAAGGAAATCTACGATGTTGAAGTTTTTGAAGTTTCCACGGAGGTAATCTCTGAAATCAATGCCGTGGGTTGGGTAGCTGCATGTTGCTCGCCAGTGGGTGGAGTGAGTCTGTAGGAATCTCATTCGCGTCAGACTTAGACGGTAAAGATCCCAGTTGAGGTCGTCCTCGTTTTGGGGGGCATTGTACTTGAAGGGGATTTTCCTGAATTCTGCGAGGTGCCGATTTGAGGTACTCCACGACGTTACCATGGTCCATGCAGTGTCTAACTCGGACTTCATGTCACAGTAAGCTGCGTAACTCTTTCCACTCTGGTCGTAAAGTTTGTAGATGCCACTTTGAGAGATCCCACGACGCAGATAATCAACGCAGGAGGTTGGACGGAATGAAGTCGGCTTCCCTTCGGTTTTGTTGGGGACGACGACCTTAACCCCAGAAGAGAGAAAAAAATAAGACTTTCTTAAAAAGATATACTCACTTAAAACCTCACTTTTGCTGGCTGCGGAAAATTTCTAAAGGGATTTCGAATAAAGGGATCTGTAAACAACTGAGTCGCTAGCTATTTTCCTCAATCGTTAACTTAACAGTAAGAATCCAAAGAAAGATATTTGTTTTTATCTCGCAAACTGCGAAAGCACTAAATATATTATCACCAAAAAATACCTTATATCCAGGTGAATTGTTCCCGACTATTTTGACGTGTGAACGATAAACGTTTATACTGCGTTTTTTCAGTCTGTCATCGTCAGATGTTGCTACTCCCTGAAAAAGAGGAACACTTTGTCACAGGTCACCGCTTGCAAGTTCTATTTATGTGCTTAATACTCTAGCTTCCAAATCATTGAAGCACACTGTTCGTCGTCGGAAGAGCTTTAACGTTTTTAAATTCAATTCACTGGATAATTACAATGAATACGAAATTGCTTCCGCTTAAACGAGAAAGATTTTAATTTAGAATTTTTCAAAATTCAGCGTTTGGACCTTTTTCTTATGGTCAACACAAAGCGTTTTTGTGGAAGATATAAGCTATAAATCACAAGTCGTGTATAATATGTGCTGTCCGAGAAATATCTTACAAGTAAAATGATGCCAATAAAAGCCAGGATTTTCTGAAATGCCATCGCTGTTCGGGTTCCGTTAAGGTGGCTCCGTAATTAATACAAGAGCATTTTGCTGTGACAAATTTTCCGTCATAACTTTTTGGTTCTTAATGCGATGCCTGCGAAACTTTGCAAAGAACAACAGATACCATTCGGCAATAATACGGAATATTCCGATTTCATTGATGGTAAATATTCCTTGAGAAATTAGCGCTTAAAAGGACCCTAATGTTCAAAGAAAATCGCGTCTAGTAAAAAATTTTGCTGATATTTTTTACTGAAATTTCTGGTATCGGCTTTAATTGATATAATAAATTTGCCAGAGGAATTTCAGAAAAATCGTTGGAGCAGAAGTCCGTAACTAAAAGTCGCTCAAAATTCAGCTGCGAAATTGAGCTAAATTGTTTTTGGAATTTCAAAAATAAATTACTATCAGGTAGAAGGAGCCACCAGTTTGAATTTTCGGGACAAGTAAATTCAATGTTTGCTTATTCTGCAAACAAAAGCCGATTGCCTATCGTGCTATTCTTTAAAAGGTACTTTTCAGTTTTAGAAGCACTATAAATTGCTCCAAACCTTGCTCTGAAGTAGAATGACTTATTCTTCGACATTTTTAAAATATCCCTTTGCAGTTTTGGCTCAAACTCCTGCTGCATACATTTTGATGTATTGCAATGCATTTTCAACGACTTTTACTGCTGTTCGTTGCTTCCAACTCAGGAAAAAAGTATTGGGATTGGACGCTACCTCGTATCAGAGCTCAGATAAAACTGTCCTGCACCTTTGTTTATGACTACAAAATGAGCACGAGCGGCAGTTCTGCGAGGAATTCGCACCTCACCCAGGGGGGACGAACGACAATGATTCCGAATTTTTGCCGAATGGTATCTGTTGTTCTTTGCAAAGTTTCGCAGGCATCGCATTAAGAACCAAAAAGTTATGACGGAAAATTTGTCACAGCTAAATGCTCTTGTATTAATTACGGAGCCACCTTAAAGCTGTCGGAATCGGGTAGCAGTTCGACAAAATTTGAAAGCTTCTGTCGTGATAAGCGTAGCAAAATGAACAATCACACGGGTTGGGGATCTGTTTTACCGCTATATTAACATTAAACACGCGTAAGAAAATGGAGTTAATAAATCAAAAACAAGAAAATATGTTCTACCAAACACGTTTAGCAGTCTAGACAAAAGAACAAAAAGGTATAACTTTGAAAAGTACATTGAGTAGCCAAGTCTGTCAAAATTTGTGTCATTTCCCTTTGTTCCCCATTAGAGTTCACTGTATTAGTTGAGTCTAGGCAAACAAAAACCGGAGACTGACCATGCCATTATTCAATATTTTACAGTGGTAGTTTTGAGTTATTTCAACAGTTTGAGTTGCGAGTGATTTATTCTAACATAAAACGTCGAACTAAACTTTGCATCGACAGATCTTGTTTTAGTTCTCTTTAGTCCTTGTAAAGTTAAAACTGCTTCTTTAGCACTTTGGAAGACAATAACAGTTTTATTCAGAAATAATGAAGATAATTATTTTGTATTCCTTTTACCGGACCCATTCACGCTAAATTAAAATAAGGTCTGGGGCACACGTCAAATCTATAAGTCGCGTCGAATAAATTAAAAATAGTCGACTTAATTCCAGCGTGGTAACAAACGTCGAACCTGCGTCGATCAAGCGCAACTTGTGAAATACCTTATTCTCCTTTGTTTTCGCGGGACTTAAATTTCGCGAAAATTTTCTCGGCACATTTCGCGAGTCTTTAATTTTGCGATCGCGGAGAAAAATTGTGTTTGCAGGGAATTTTATTTCGCGAAATTGACGATTAAGTGACTTTATTTTTTCTTTTTTACAAAAATTGTACGTTAATCAACAATTGAAACAAAACCAATATGCTGTCCCTTAGCGGCAGCTGTATTCCTCCGAGATGTTCTCACGAACGAAACAATATCTACGATCGGTACGCAATCGCAGCTAACAAACGGCTCCGTGGTCGCCTGGCCGATTTGATTATAGGCTATTTGCCCAGAGAGATTCCTAGAGCTACTCGCTTTTTCTTATTGAGAGGTGGGATAGTTCATCTTAAGGTTACTGATGAAAACTATCGTCGATACCCATTGATTCAGGGAGGTCTGGAAAGTCCTGTTGAGGTGATATGTGATTATGGACGATACAACAAGGAACAGGGCAATAATGGAAAGATACAAGACACTTGTAACTACACACTACAAGGAGCAGGGACAGGATGGTCAATTTGACGACTGTACAAAGGATGTATTGGAGGAACTGTGCGAAGACGATTACTCTACTCTGGTAGTCTACTTCGCAAGTTGCACTTCATTAAAACACGGCAATAAGAACGTGTCCCCGTGATAATTTGTTCAAATTCACTCTATATACAATAATAATATACAAGGTAGGAGAGACGAGATGCCATCTTCCCCGCCATACTCGCTTTCAACACAACTTTTCACGAAATTCGAACTTCATCGGAAAATAAACATGCCAGGATCGTAGAAGCAGAATAACAGCAGATATAGAAACCAATGAAGCTTTCCCAGATAGAGAAACCAATCCCACAGACTTTGATAAACTCGAAGGATATATTTTAAAAAGCCCGAGAACATGCATGCTCGCTGAAGCAACGCGCGGCCAAGAAAATGAGGCCTGGACGCTGTTCAAAAAAGGCCAGCACTCGTTAACATCCGTCAAAAGGACCTTGGACACCTTATGATTTTTACACAAGGTACAACTGATTTCTGCTTTTATATCACACTAAGATGATATTTCAAGCTTACCATCCACTAACCACTAGACCACTGAGGATTTGTTGGATGGTATGGAAATAGTTAAAGTACAAATAGCATCAACCCCAACCAAACAAAAGAACTTAACCAGTTTCGAAACAGTGCTTAACCCTGATTAGTGAAGGAAGTACTTAACCCTAATTAGTAAAGGAAGTGCTTAACCCTAATTAGTAAAGGCAGTGCTTAACCCTAATCTGTAAAACGCAGTGCTTAACCGGCTAATCCAAAACGAGAAGGAATACTACGTTGTCTAAACTTCATAAGGTGTCCAAGGGCCTTGCGACAGATGTTAAAAAGTGCTGACCTACAAAAAAAATCCATCCCGGGAGTCCTGGGGTGACCTTTCTGGGGACCGATGCACCATATGCCCAAAGCCACCCTTCCCTGCTGGAAAAATACTTGATAGAAGGCAATTGTTCTTCCTAGCCAATCACAATTCGCCAGAGCAAACCCCGCACACGCGCCTAAATTTAAATAGCTAAAAAACAAATTAAACCAGAATAACCTGCCGAGTTACAAGGCGCCCCATTTCTTTCACTAAGAAATGCAAATAACAGTAATAAAACTATGAAATAACAACGCGAAATACTTACAAGGCGGGCTAAAAACAAGGTTGAATAAAAGGTAGATGATGACTGAGATACTGCTGCTGTGAACTCTCGAGCGAAACGATTTTCTACTGGGTCGCCTTCGAAACGCAATTGAAAAAGACACCATCACTGAAGAGCCTATCTCCCCGGAAGCCCGATTAGCAATTGCTTGTATCGACTTGCTCGCCATTCCCGGAAGCGAAATTCTCTTTGTACAGCGCATGTTCGTCCGGGGGGAAGTAGCTTTTAGCAGATAGGGGAGTCGGTATTTTTGTAACGTTTCCGCAGTCCATTACATTTGAATCAATTCTTTTTGTAATTTGCAAGATTTGTGAATTGAGTTCAGCGCGTGTTTAAAACGGCGTTTGCTGAAACACCGAACCACTGTCGCATTCAGTCCGACTTGGCAAGTCGAACCAATTAATTTGAGTCAAACTTAATTGCGGCAAACGTCGCACCATTCATGATACGGCTATTTCAAAATTAAGTTACAAGAAGAGACTCTACGATTATGTACGTCCAAGCTTTAAAATCACAGACTTACGAATAAATACCGCAGAATCTAATCTCATTGGTTGTTTGTAAGAGGATCATATTCGTTGTATATTCTCGCTCTCTGTTCCATGTCCAACATCTTCGTCGAGTAATTTTTTCCACAAAAAAACTGATTCTTAGGTTATGTTCACACTATAAAGGATAGCCTTTCGCGTCTATATCTATCCGGTATGGTATGAATACCTATCCGATATGACTCTCCACTTTAAAGATCTGCGCGGAACAGCTAATTGCTCCGTTACCAAGGAATCGCGCCGAAATCACCGTTCAAATGTGTGTACCGAAGCCCCATCTCATCCTAAAAGTGTATGGTTTCCGTGCCGGCGCAAAAACTATCCTTTTCGCAATAATTAAATGGAAACCTTGAATGAAATTACACTTCCTCTTTAAGACACATTGGTCAAAAGAGATTCAGAGGGACAGTCTTTACTCCTACAGGTGTTTACAGGGAAAATCTAAGGCAAACTGATCAACCTTTAATCAGTTCAACACGGTATCATCAAGTGCAAGCTTATAATATGGATCAAAAGATATCATTACTAAACCATTTGTATTTGACTCTTTTTGTCGCTGGTTTTCAATAAAGTTTTTAAAACTGTATCTCGGGTCTTGTCAATTTATTTGTCGCCTGATTTAATTGATCCTTGTTAGGTTATTAATTGTTTGTGTTTTTATAATAATAAGTCAAGTTTCTCCCTTGGGGTTTTTACTGTGGAGCCAATTTCTATGCAATTGTGGGCTAGTTAACCCGCATAATTAACTGACTAACGCTACAACTATTTTTTTTTCTTTTTGATCTTCTCTGCGGTTCAGGTAAAACCTCAACAATCTTCAGTAAATCTTTTTATAAGACTTATGAAACGATTTACGAGTGAGTCGAGCAAAGTCTACAAAAATTAACTACGCAAAGCACAGCAGTATATATAGCCTCTTGATGTTACTAAATGGTTTAAAAATTATTTAAACTTAAACTTTCTGGCCCACACTAATCGGCCGCACCAGTGTATATCAATGTATGTTTTCTTTGCGCACGAAGCAGTTGTATAGAAGGGACTCGTTATTCTAAGAAAAGGCCAACAAATATATTGCATCCTTGTCCTTGTTTAATTTCTATTTTATATGGTAAATAAATAGTCACTGGATGATTAAACGTGCGCCTGCTATGTGCCTGCAACAGCGGCTCGATACGTTCCAACAATAGATGGACGAACAGGGACTCTTACATCAAAACCAACGGGAGGAGTACTTGTTTTTGATTTAATAACTNAGACTTATGAAACGATTTACGAGTGAGTCGAGCAAAGTCTACAAAAATTAACTACGCAAAGCACAGCAGTATATATAGCCTCTTGATGTTACTAAATGGTTTAAAAATTATTTAAACTTAAACTTTCTGGCCCACACTAATCGGCCGCACCAGTGTATATCAATGTATGTTTTCTTTGCGCACGAAGCAGTTGTATAGAAGGGACTCGTTATTCTAAGAAAAGGCCAACAAATATATTGCATCCTTGTCCTTGTTTAATTTCTATTTTATATGGTAAATAAATAGTCACTGGATGATTAAACGTGCGCCTGCTATGTGCCTGCAACAGCGGCTCGATACGTTCCAACAATAGATGGACGAACAGGGACTCTTACATCAAAACCAACGGGAGGAGTACTTGTTTTTGATTTAATAACTGTGTCAAAGTAATGGGTCTTTCCGGGCACACATTCATGCTACTCAACGAATTGCATTGGTTAATGGTTCATTATTTAACGCCACTATTACAAAAGAGGTGGACTGTTAAAAAGCTCTGAAAAGTGCAGTTACAGCTTACTTCTTTGACTTATCCTACAACATTATTATTGATGAGCGTGATTACAGACTAACCAAGCACCTTAGTTCTCAAGGGACCACTCGTTTAATTTACATTGGGTAAAGAATCATCACGAGTGAATGGTTAAAAGCCGTATTCTAATACGTAGACATCGGCAAAAATATTGGGCTTTCATTTAAAACACTTGTGGATACCAAAACAAAAAACACACAAACAAATTAACTTACGAATGTTCTCACGAGTTTGCATCTTTCACAAGCCACAGAATGTTCCGCGAGGAAATGGCTTTATATGCCCCACCTAAAAATATCGCAGTTTCGCCATTTGAAAAGAATGTAGACAAGTACCTACAAAAAGCTACTTGTGGCGGTGTTTTTAAGAGGAAAAGAAACCCGTGAACTGTCGTCAAGTGATCGGGGGTATAAGTTAACTGCAATCTGCCTTCGCTTAGATAGGCTGTTGCACGCACCTTCAGTGCTGAACAAGCGATATGGCGTGGATGTTTACCTTCGTAGTCTTTTTTCTACATGTAACTGGTAAGTTCATTAAACACTGTTAACTCTTCTTGTAGGTATTTGGTCAGGGGCACCCAAGGACTTTTTTCGGAGAGATGCAGGCACTTTTACTACTTTTTAGAAAATAACAACATAAGTAGTTAGTAACTTTTTCATGTTCTTTTTTTGCCTAGTTATCCGCGTAATTTTTATCTTATTCGTTCGAACTCAGTGGGGATCTTTAACAAATGTCCACTTGCTCGCAAATTTGCTGACTGCATAGAAAGGGATTTTACCAAAAGGTCCTCCACAAGGTTTTGAACTTAATCACAACTCTTCCCGACACTGTCCCATATGGTATTGGCAATGCTCTTAAACAAGAGAGAATGATCTAAATGTCTTAAAATACTTTTGGCTTGCTCCGAAAAGCCAGTTCTCAATATATTTTTCTTGCTCTAAACGTCTCTTAGGTCAATTAGCTTTTGCCGTCCAGCCTGGTCTTCTTCGAAGAGGGCTTCAGACACCAAAAAGGAGACTGCTGCCACAACAAGACAACAAGAACCAAATTTTTAACCTGACAAAAAAGGCGAATACCCACGTAATTAAAAGCTCTAGTTCCCTGATAAATTGTACATTTTTGTCTTGAAAATAACACGTTGTAGTCAATCCCTTCAGGTATACGGACTTTCCTTTAATCTTGACTAAAAGACTGAAGTAAGGTAACCATGCACTAATTAAAATTTGTTAATAATTGTAATTATACAGCGAAACCCCGTTGCGTATGACCGGGGTGTCCGTATTAAGGGGGTGTCCCTAGGGGGAGCGGGGGGGGGGTTTGACTGTATTGTCTTAAGGGCGACTAAATGGATTAAATATAAGGTGAACGGAAAATTTGTTTGAGAACATTGACACTTGCAACAAAAAGGATAAGTCATAGAATGATAGAAACGAATTATCAGTGGTAAGAGAAAACGTTTTAAAATCTCAGTTTGCTGAGTTTGCAAACGCATAATTTTGATTACTGACCTTTTCGTCTCGAGCCCAGAATCAGTCAGTTAGTTCACCCGTGGAACCAAATGAAACGAGACAGACTGCAGTGAATCGTAGTCTTTCTTCCCTTACCGAACTTAACCTGGAATGGTGCTCTATGGAAAGTAATGTTGTGCTCAACTCGGCCAAAACGAAATCTGAAATATTAAACAGCCCGTACTCATTCACGGCTGCCCGTAACAAAGTGTTGCTCGTTTTTCGTTCCTCCTTCTCTTTCATTTTTGTTTTCAGGGAGCAGAAGTTGCTAGCGATGAAGGACTGGACAAACGTGATATAAACGTGTATCGTTCACACGTCAAGATAACTGGGTACAATTCACATGGACACAATTCGCAGGTAAAATGTCTTAAAACTGACACAATAGTATTCTTGTTTTCCCTTCGTAGAAACAAAGTGCTTTTCCTTAAAATCAGACCGAAAAAAAAATGACCGTTCGTACTTTTTAGCAGAAATTGACACTAAAAATACATGATCAGTTTAAAGTAAATGAGGTTTCAAATCCCAGGGTAGAAAACTTATTAGCAACACAAGCTTTCGATTCCACCACGGAATCTTTATCAAGTGATGGAGTTGGACGTTTTGTCACGTGATTTATACAGTGACAAGTCGTAACGGTCGATAGCGAGGAGCTCCTAACCAGTGTCCCTGTTCAAGTTGGAGCGCGACAATATATTTCGATGGCCTTCCTGAGTCTTCCCTCGCAAGGGTCTTCGTGATAGGATTAAGTAACCCTTCTTCACTAAAATGACCAGATCACAAGACAACTGATCTGTTTTCTGCAGCAAATTCAGTATTTGACATATCATGCTTTAAAAAGTCTTATTCATTCTCTCCTACTAGGGTGTTGCTTCTTCTAACAAAACCATAAAGGAGCACAAGGAACCAAAGAAGCCAATTAGATTCCGTCCACACTCCTGCCTTGATTATCTGCGCCGTGGAATCTCCCAAAGTGGCAGATACAAACTTTACGACCAGACTGGAAAGACTTACGCAGCTTACTGTGACATGAAGTCCGAGTTAGACACTACATGGACTATGGTGATGTCATGGACTCCCGTAAATCGAAGGCTCTCAGCGTTTTTCAAAATCCCCTTCAAGTACAATTCCCCACCAAATGAAGACGCCCTAAAGTAGGATCTTTACCGCCTTAGTCTGGCACGAATGAGATTCCTACAGACTCACTCCACCCACTGGCGAGCAACATGCAGCTACCCAACCCACGGCATCGACTTCAGAGACTACCTTCGTGGAAATTTCAAGGACTTCAACATCTTTGACTTCGTTGGAGAATGCCAGTGCAAGAAAGTGGAATACGTCAACATCCGGGAACACGTGGGTACGGATCTGACGGCGCCTTTCTGGCAGAAGCTAAATACATGGACATTGCATATCGACAGTACCTACACCCACTGTCAGTTCAAGACGGCGAAATCTGGTGCGGCGTCAAGTGAAGACAACTTTGGCTGGTATGGAGACGGCATCAGCAACAAATTCCGCCGCACACAGGGAGACCAATCCACTACCCAGTGGTGGTTTGGAGCTCACCTTTAATCTGTTTAGGGACACAACAGTCTTTCAGTGGGTCAAAACAAACAAAGTACAACAAAGTAACAAAGTACAAGACCCTGTAGTGTTTTAGGAGTTCTTGAATAAAAATGTCTTCGCACACTAATCAAAGTGGATCAATTCAATTTTGCATGATGAGAAAAAGAGGTGTGAATCGGCAAAACGCGCGGAATGAATTTGACTTAGAAAGCGGTGAAACAAAAATATGGGAAAGAAGCCGAAAAACTGCCTTGAAAAACTGAATCAAAGAAAACCGCTAAGAGCAATAATCGGCATCTTTGCGCTTTAAAGAGTATCTGAACTTGCATTTTTATTAAGTTGCGAGGAACAATGCTTCTTGAGCAGCGTAGACGAGCTTTTTTCAAGTCTTTTTTAAGGCCTTCACTTGTGCAATCCAAATAATCTCTTAAACATGTAGATTTTAAAACTGCGCAACTTTTTTAGACCGTAACAAAATTCCATTCCTGACTCTTTGTGATTATTTCTTATTATCAAACTTTACTACTTTTTTTGCCGGGTATTTAAAAATCACCTGGGAGATTAAAAAAATAGCATAGCAAAAAGGGACAAACCGATCCGATTTTCTTTTACAGTATATCTTCTTTACTCAAAACGCGAATCACTTACAAAGATACAGGTGAATTGATGCGAATCAAGGCCACGACGCTTAGATCGCTTCTTTGCCAATTCCCAAAATATTTATCCATGTCAGAATAAACGTCCATTTTGTCGATGAGTAGTAGTCTTTTCAAGTAAGCACCCACGCAAAATCTTATATCACCAATATACCTGTACTTAATATCTTATCAATATAAAATTGAATGAACAGTAGCCGGTGGTCGCAACTTTGCGTTTTGCGACGAGGCGGTGGTTATCCGAGAATTAGTTAAACAGAAAGAACAACACGACAAATAACTGAAACTGTAGAGGGTCTAGGGGACATCAGTAAGGGTGCCAAAGACCTAGACCAAACCGAAACGTAACAAAGGAGAGAGGAACAAGGATTGATCGGACGATAAAAGCCGATCCTTTAGGCCTTAATAATTTAAAAACATATGCTCCCGTCGCTTTTTTTCAGGCATTTCTTAACTAGTATGGTACTAGTGATGAGAATTTGCTTACAAATCTTTGCTGATCATTTCGTCTATTCTTATGACTTTTAAATAATCAATTGAGCAGTATTCCAGTTATAACGAGAAAGTCAAGTTTGAGAGGCTCCAACTTTTAAAACGAGGGAAACGGAGTCGCAAAAAAAATAAAAATTAAAATAATAGCATTGATAATAATAATAATAATAATAATAATAATAATAATAACAATAATAATAATAATCTGTTAATTGAGTGAATTTCGGCCAAATAACAATCACTCACTGAAGTGGAAGTGGCTAGCCACAAAATGGCTTCAGGGTTTGCTGACGTAACAAACGAAGAAGTTCAAAAATAAACGAAGAGGTGGTTACCGACAACCGAAACAAGGCTACGAAATTCGGTTTGGCAGTTTTTACAGATAAACCTTTGTCTGTTATAAAGAATTTATCGATGAAACCGGTGAAAAAGTTTTTTGTTTACAAATTTAAATTAAGTCTTGCGTTATTTTATTTAGCTGGCATGTTCGTGAAAAAGTAAAAGTGTTGTACACTTTGGTTGACTGTTTTCAACACTTTTATTTAAAATCATCATGAAACAGATTACAAGATTCTGTTTTCAATCATCGAGGAACAGTGTCTCAGTCCTGTGACCTCTGCTGTGGTTGTCTCATCTCTGTAATGATTAGAGATGAGCTCCAAACCACCACTGGGTGGTCGAGTGGGTACCCTGTGTACAGCGGAACTTGGAGTTGATGGTCGCATATAGGCCAAAGTTGTCCTCATCAGAAACTGCACCAGTCTTCGCGGCCTTAAAATCACAGTTGGTGCTCAGGCTACTATCAATGTGCAGAGGAGGTCCATGCTTTACTTGGCCCTGCCAGAAAGGTGCCGTGAGATGGAGGCCCCAGTGTCCCCGGATGTTAATGTAGTCCACCTTCTTACACGTACCTACACCCACAAAATCAAAGATGTTAAAGTCTTTGAAGTTGCCACGGAGGTAGTCTCTGAAATCGACGCCGTGGGTCGGGTAGCTGCATGTTGCTCGCCAGTGGGTAGAGTGGTCCTTCAGGGATTTAGTTCGGACCAGATTCAAGCGGTAGAGATTCCAGTTCAGGGAGTTCTCGTTCACTGGATAGTTGTACCTGAAAGGGGACTGGAAAAACGGGGAAAGCTTGCGATAAGCAACACTCCATGACATGACCAGTGTCCATGCAGTACCGGGCTCAGATGTCAAATCACAGTAAGCTGGGTAACTGTTTCCTTTGTAGTCATAAAGCCTGTACATGCCGCATTTGGAGGCACCTCGCAGCAGATAATAAAGACAAGATGTTGGACGGGAGCTGAGTGGTTTAGGACACGCGTTTCCCTGCAAAAAAAGACAAAAAGATGAATGAATGGTGTTGTTTCGTCTGCTTTATAGCAAAGCGTCATTTTTGACTGCGAACCGTTTTAAGTCCTGAAGTCTTTTGCACATTTATTCACGTTCACTTTAAAGGTTTCCTCCTCTTTTGCGTGAACCAGATTTACGCCGAAGAGAGGAGAATTAAAGGAGGGTGAGATAATTCACCTTGCATCCCGAAGTAACATTTGGTCGTCCTTTGCTCTTTGCGTGATGGTCACCAACTGCAAACGTCTGTTAAAGAAAATAAATAATATTCATTTTTTGCGTCTTACGGCTTTAGATATCATAAATTTTGCACTGGGGTTAAATACCCTTTTTGAGCATATTTTTGTCCAATCCTATTTTTTTGGGAAAAGTTGTCGCACACGTAAATTACTCACGATTAACACGATCCCGATCACACCTACGATGGTCTTCAATGCCGCCATCGCCGTTTTTCGCCTTAAATCACAACCGAGTGAAATTCAGAGAAATGGGATGTTTTTGTTTTGTTTTTGCTGCTTGGAAGTTTACTGAACAAACACCGAGGCTAGTATATGCGGTAATCCGGATATGTTATGTGTAATAAAGCGAGGTAAATAAATCTTAACATGAAAACATCTTTCGTATAACATGTTTTACGGAAGAATCACGCGAACAAAAGAGTCACATCGCCAGAAATGCATAGTGAGAGGTGACACTTTCAAACACTCAGAAAATACCAAGGCAATTTTCATTACAGAGAAATGACTAAGAAAAGATCGGAAATCGAAAACAACTGTCCCAAAGGCGTTCGCATTCGCCGACACCCTATCAATTCTATTAGCATTTTTGTTTAATAACTAAATAATTCTGCATTTATACCTACCTTGCAAGTTTTATCCTTTTCGGTTTTAAAGTAAACAGATTTGCAAATTGACTGTAAAGGATTTGTATGGCTGTCGGCGATAAAACGCTAAACAGAGCCCAGTTAAAGTGTTCCAGTTCGCGTCCAAGTTTGTCGTATACAACGATTGGTTCTGGGAGTTGAAGGTGCTTACTTTCAGGTCCAGTCACATTTTACACTTGCCGATTAAAATGTTTTTCCGTTTTTAACTTTGAAAACACCGTAAATTTCAGTATGGGCTCCACGGCTAAATTTCCTGATATTCGCTTTGCAATGTGTCGGCGAAAAATCGTCCAAACTTTACGCAAAACCTCTCGTTCGAGAGATAATTTCTGGCATTTTGAACACGTTTCAGAACAATATTGACAGTATTTTCGTTCAGCGGCCAGTTTTTGACCGTAAATACTGTTGTGTATGCGTATCGTGACAATGAGCCCGTAGCAGACCGGACTTGACAGCGGCTTAAACCACTATGAAAACAGTGTCATGTAATTAACACGAAAAATGTAGTTCGAGATTTCTGGCGATTTGCTGGAGGGCTCCTTCACGGATGGGCGCCGGCCTCCGCACCAATTCTGTCATATTGTTTATCAGTTCTAAATTAAAGTCAATTTTTACGGTATAGAAAAAAATTAAACACAAAGTGCCCACAAAAAGAAACAAAAATTGCGTGGTTCCTGGTTGCTCGTCCCGAGTAAATTCATCGATAAAGACAGGCAATGAGGAGGCAACTATGTCTGTTAACATCCTTGTACGCAATTTTCATATTTTAATATGAAAAATTTATACTCAATCAGTGACAACCCCATTAAATATGATAAAGGAGATCTTAGACCTACTTAGCCCGTGAGGCAAACCGCGCGAGAAAAGCCTGGAAAAAGAAAAATTTAGACTGCTAGCCGTCTAGAAAAATGAACAACAATGCCAAAAGATGGCGTTTTATCACCAGAATAAGAACATGTTGGTGACTAACTTTTCATTGTACTTTACTAATTTATTATTACTTTTCAACACTGGAATCTTTTAATTTGTTCCGAATTCTTCAATGCGCCGAGGTTTGCGGAAAGTACGCAAAGTTCCGAATTTCTAAGCGGAGTGCCGTGGGTAATCATGATATAATTTGGTTATCTATGTATCCAAGAATTTTGGTTGTGACAAAATCGTCCATTCGTATAGCCGCCCCTCCATGTAAGCTGATGTAAGATTTCACATCAGCTTTGGTCCTCTCGTACTCGGTCTCCTCATTGGCTCTGGGGGCCGAGTAGAATAAAGCTCTGGGAGGAGTCCAATGCATTACTTCTGTTGATATTGGACATCCATGTTACGGTCAATTGACATGCAGCTGTCAAAATAGGGTTAGCCCTTTGTACATTACGGTTTTGTTTCCCCACTAAAATGCTCCACCTTAAGAGGCTGTCTCAGTAAAAACCGCCCACTCAATTTCGCGTGAAAAATAATTTTGCCTGAAACTCTGGCGAGTGAAAGGCTTTAGCGAGACTATAACTAAAATGGGTTTGCTTTGATTCCCAATAATTTTCTGGCCGCGCTGAGGGGCGCCGAGTATTTTGTCCCGCCACGGCCATTTTGCACGTCTTGAAAACTGAAAATTTGGCATTTTTTGCGGCGCTGTAAAAAGTTTGATTTGCACCATCTATCAATGAGTTTTACACCTATTTATAGGTAAACATCTCTAGTTTCTCCTGAAAGTAATAGTTATCCGCTAAATTTAGCTGGAAAGACGAAATCAAGCTAAATATGACCCCATCTAATTGCCTTGGAGCGAAAGGCCAAAAATTACCCTGTTTTAAAAGCTTATTTTTGACTTTTGGTACGTAGTTGAAAGCTCTAGACTAAATAGACGCAAAGATAGACCATTTGTTATTAATAATATACAAAACCCCATGTACGATTTCAGTATTTTTAAAGTTATGACCGTTTGTATCAATGCGTATGCGAGCTAATACGATATTTTCAGATTTAGCGTAACGGATCTACCTCAAGCAGATTTCGTCAAAAGTACGGCTTACCTAATTCATTACTGGCACTAACTCACAGATTGAGCTATATTCCAATCCCTGAGATGCCGGACTCCATAACATTCCAGTAAATGTGCTCTAGAAACTGCTGGTATGCGGCCATTTTTAAATCCCATGCTGACAATCCGAAGCTCAAAACAGGTGAAACTGTGTCACGTTTCGAGCTAAATTACTCGGTAAAACAACCGTTCAGTGGTGAAAGTTTGCTCGAGAATCAAAAAATCAACTAGGCAGGTCTCATTTTGAATCAGAAAATTAAGATTTCAGAGCTACAACCTCCAATAAACCTTCTATTCAACCGGCTCTGCCAGGTCAAATGCAGGTTGACACGTAAACCGGAAATGTTGAAACCCGGAAATAGGGAAAACCGGAAATCGCCTTTAGGCCTAGTAGGCCTTTAGCCGTTTAGACTTTAGTTAGTCTTCGGCTTCAGTTAAGGTACAATTAGAGACAGCTGCATTCGTTTAGGGCTTCTTTTCGACGTTGAGACACGTAAAAGATAAAACTTTCCAAACCGGCGTAGCTGTTTGATTCTCACTGAACTGAAACGCATTTCCACGATCGATTGCGTTTGGCAAATAGGCTCCATAAGAAACAGTAAATAACATTAACCGGTTACAAACATTCTATGTGCGCTAACATATCACACTTGTGACTAATACTTTACAGAAGTTGGCTATATATCCAAACTGAATGTGTCGAGATCTAGGAAACCGAGCCAGCTTGGTTGTCTGGGCTTATCTAGTATAGAGGGTCCTTGAAAGTCGCTTGTTAAGGGGGCATTCTGGTTGTTTTTTTCGGGGAAAATGATGGTGATTTGGGAAAGAAATAAATAAGAGTAGAAAACGTATGTATTTCTAACAGCCCCCTAATCCAATATTTTCCAACTTTTCCAACATTTTTAACATCCTCCCTAATTTTTATACATTAAAAACATTCGAAAAATCATCCAGAAATTCTCCAAAAATGATTGAACCAAGGCCTCAATCTTTATTGAGTCATTTTTTGATTCACGGATAAAATGGATAGCGGATAACGCGAGAAAAGCAGCGGAAAGTCATTTGGATTATAGGATATGGTTGCAAGAAACTCCCACTTAATCTAGAGTAGCTTTAAGAGAGGATTTAACTCTGTATGCGTGTTTAGACCCTAAGACCAATATTAACACCGAATGGTAACACTAGTGGCAAGTCCTAGGGGCGACCCTTTTTGTAGACCATAAACCGATGCAATATGGCCAAGAAAGGCGCTAAGACACTTTGTTTTAAGATTAGCTACAAAACACCGTTAAATGGTCGAAAAAATAATCCTACATTTGTCGAAAAATTTGGGTTTTCAGACCCAAAACGAAATCTGCTTAGCTGATGTTTTCATTCTCGGACAAGTCTCACCTCCGGACATTTGTTCTATTTTCTTTCTTACCCAGCTATTTATCTCGAAACGTGACATGCCGTAAAATTCCGAAAATAAGCCCCGGGTGTTATATTTTTCAAAGGCCCTTTTTGAGGGGCTTATTTTTGGACGGGTATATATTCGTAGGAGCTTATGCACGGAGGGACGTTTGCGTTTCAAAATCGATTAGGCTAGCTTATAGTGGGAAGGAAATTAACCGTTTTTGCTTTGTTTTACTTTGTATTTGAGGGCAGTTTTCCAAGCACAAGACCCCAGGGGGCTTATATTGGGAAGGGCGATTTCACGGAGGGTTTTTTGTGTTACGAGTTTGGGGGAGCTTTTACATGGAGGGGCTTATTTCGGAATTTTACGGTAGTTTCAGCATGGGATTCAAATATGGCTGCATACCAGCAGTTTCAAAAGCGCATTTACTAGAATGTTATGGAGTCCGGCATCTCAGGGATTGGAATATGGCTCAGTTTGTGAGTCAGTGCCAGTAATAAATTAGGTAAGTTGTACTCTTGACGAAATCTGCTTGAGGTTTTGAATGAAATATTGGTCAATTTTTTAGTCAGTGCCAGTAATGAATTAGGTAAAGTTTGGGAGGAGACGGAGGAGGAAAATCTAGTTCCTCAATCCTATTGTAAAAATAGTCCAGGGGACGGGAGAAGATTCAGGTAGAGGATCAGTAA